CTGTGATTTCACTGTAGATTTCCTCCCCAGAAATCTGTTGTTTGGAGAGTGGAGAAAGTTATGTCCCTCTGCTAACCCTCCACACTTTTTTGCTATCTGTCTAACTCTGTCAGTTTTCCACTTTCCTTTCTGCTCCTTGAAGGGCAGAGGTCTGAACACTAATAAGGACACTACTGTAAGCTTGACACACACCTTTGCAATCATTGTGCATATTCTCTGCAAAACCAAAGCCTAGACTCCCATTTAACACAGTGGCCTTGCCCTGCCAAAAGGCATATAACAGCAAACACAATTACACAGTTGAATATTCTTTTTTTATTCAGTAACATCACATCAGTAATTTGTCCAAAGATAAGGAAGCAATCTTGCATGCATTTACATATATAAAGTATTATGTCATTATCAACAATAGTCAAATCATGCATACGTTTATAACTTTACAATATGTATGAACATGTCACAAATTTTAACAAATACAAAAATCATGAATAAAAATTCCATGTGTTAACAATTGTATAGGATGTATTTAACAACTCCCTATTTGTGAAAATCCAACAATAATGAACCAATATTGTATGCTTTCCAAAATGTATATTATGTATTTCACCAATTGTACATAATGCAAAAACTATCAAGAAATAATGCATACGTTCACAAATGTACAACTAGATCATACGCTCCTGCCATTCAAGTGCACCTGCAGGTGACATAAAATACTCCAACAATTTATCCCGATTGTCAAGGGCAGTCATATTCTCTCTAGCATTGCTCCATTCAGCCTGCTCAAGGGCATTGTGTAAGGAGTCTTCAAAATTATAGCCATCTTGTTCTCTAATGTAATTGTGAAGCATACAACAAGCTTTGACAATATTTATCGCATTTTCAGAGGTCTGTTGCATAGTGGTGTGCAATATACGCCATTTATTGGCTAGGATCCAAAAATGTGTAATCCACCATTCTTCTGACACGTGTTAGCCTGTAATTAAATATTCTTTTGACATGGCCTAGGCCACGTTGTGAGTGGGACGCATTATACGTTCATTCAACCCAAATGCTTTGTCAGCAACAAACACGTATGGGTAGGATGATTCTGTGGTACCTGGCCATGGTTTGTCATTTGGTATACTTAATTCTTTCATCCTCAATTTCTGTCCTAATTTTGATTCTCTAAATAAAGCCGAATCACTACTACTGCCATAAGACCCAACAATAATGTATGTGAATTTATAATCTGCAACCACGACAGCCAAAAGTACTATTGAAAAGTATTTTATGTAGTTATAATATTTGCTACCACTCATTGGTGGCATGCGTATTCTGATATGCTTCCCATCTAATGTGCCTAAACAGTTTGGAAAATTACATCTTGACCAGAATAAATCAGCAATTTGTAACCACCGTTCCGGAGTATGAAAGACTGTTATGCAAAGGAACTACGTACTAGGATGGAGGAACAGAAAAGTGGGTCTGCATCTAAACACAGACAAACATATGTTTATTTTGTTAAGTTGGAGTTTCTGCATCCTATTGTTGAACTTCGTTGGTAAGTATAGCTTTCTGGTGTATCTAAAAAAGAGTTTTGTAAACTAACAGCATTCATTTTAAACAAACTTTTTATCTATCAACAGCACTGAGAGCAACTGAGATGATGATGGTGATGATTCCGAAGGTGGGGAGGCCATTTTTTTCAGAAAGCCCTGCCTCTCCAACAGAAGAGGGGACACCATCCCAGATTCCAAATACTGAAACATCATCTGTCTTGGACATGGCGGGATCGGAGAATGATGACCGACCTGGACCATCTGCACATATTACCCAAGCCCCAGCTTGCCACTGCCCCATACAAGCCACTAGACAATTTAGAAGAGGAGCAGGATTTCTGCAGGCTAGGAGTTCACGTAAAAGGGGAACTGCAGCTGTCCCCAATAAGATGGTAGACACGCTGCAGGACTTTGTAGGGGAGAATAGGAGTGAGAGGGGTCCAAGTGTGCATTTGCTGCTAAGCCTGCTGCCTGAGGTAGAAAACGTGCCAGCACAAAAATGGGGGGTTATATATAATGACTTCTTTAATGTCATCAAGGCACACCAGAATGCAATTCCCCCACAGACAAATGTCCAAATATCTGACAACATGGCTGTTGTCCCTAGCAATAAATTCAGCCACCAATACATTAACCAACATGCACTCCATGCAGCATCCTCACACAGAGAACCATACTATGATGGAGTTGCACCTTCTCCACCACCACCTTCACATGGAGCACCACATTATGGGGGAGCTGCAAACCCTCCAACACTGCCCCACACAGAGCACCACATTATGGGAGATTAGCAAACCCTACACTAGAACCCTCACACGTATTTCCGAATTATGGGGGATTTACACCCCCTCCAGCATCACCATCTCATGGATCACCAAACTTTGGTGGTTTTCGGTCTACACGAGAAAATTACAGTGGCCCATGCATGCCTACTAGTATTTCTGGTCACGGAAGAAGGATGCTACAGGCCCTGGAGGAGGAAGAGGAGGAGTCGGTTTATCATTCTCTGTAAGTATTTTTTTAATGTTTTCTGAGTTTGCTATATGACTCAAAATGTGACATAAATTTTGGAAAAAAAGGTTTTGGTCACTATGGAACAACAAGAGAGAGGTTGCACCAACCTAGTGAAATACCACAACTCACTTTAAAATTATATATATTAAAATTATATAACAAGTGAATATTAATAAATTTTTGTCATGCACAAGCATTTTTAAAGATACAGACAAGACTGCCTCCAGATCCACCATACTCAGTTGACAGCATGAGAAGATCACTAAGGAAGAGGGCTTGACCCTCAAAACGCATTAGTTGTTCATCTTCCCATGCCGTCAGCCGAGTATGGTGTATCTAGAGGCAGTCTCATCTGTATTTTTTTATATGTTTGAGCATTACATGCGTTTGTGACTATTGACTACTTTTTAAGAAAAATTAGTTGTGTTATCTCACTGGGTTGTTGTGCCCTCTCTCTTATTGTTATGTCCACATTGCAAATGCACCACACATGAGTGCAGTGGGTTATGTTAAGTTTGGCCACTATTGGCCTATAAATGTAGGTGTTCATACAGTGTTTGGACCCTATTGTGTTTGAAAAAAAATGTTAATAAAAATTATGTTGGCCTTTTTGGCCTGTTGTTAAAAAATAAAAAAAGGTTTTGGGCCCCATGGGCTAATAATAAAACAAAGAATTTGGAAAATTATTTAGTCTGAATTTTCTTGTGTTTTGGTGATTATTAGTATATGGAAAGGGACAGGTTAAACAAATATATACTTACCACAGCCTCACTAGAAGACATTCTGTAGGTGTCACAGACTTGCGGAAGGTGGTATCCTGCTGTTCAAGGTCAGGTGTTAGGATATTCAACAGATGATCACATTCTTGCATAAAGGTTCATAAATATACAGTATATTTAATTTATGGAGCTATACACTATATATACAGAAAAAAAAATAAATAAATATATATATATATATATATATATATATATATATATAGTGCTCAGCATAAATTAGTGTACCCCAACAGATTTGTCAGAAAACCTTTACTTTTCTGTCAGAATCAACATTTTCTATGGGACACTATAATGCAAAATACATTGCACACACAAACAAGTATTTTTCCTAACAAATTAATTCACCCTGTTGCAAAAACAATACACCCAAATGAAAGTCCTAGGAGCAAATCTAAATTTTAGACAACAAATTCCTAATTAACAAGAATTCAACTACAGGTGAGTCTAATTATTCATGAAACAGGTGTCCAGCTGATTATAAAAGGGCGTTACTTAACAAAGAAAATCCATTCCCATTTCATGCTGTCAGCAATGGCACAACATGGAAGAGAAATGTCACAAGGCCTGAGAAAGAAAATACTTTCAGTACAAAAAAAAGGTGAAGGCTGTAAGAAGATCAGCAAAGCTTTACTTATCAGTCAGAATACTGTAGCAAAAGTTATAGAGAAATTTAACAGAGATGGAACTGCAACCATCTCACAGAGACATCCAGGCTGCCCATGGAAGTTAACACCTCAACAGGAGTGTCTTCTGATGAGAAGGGTTGAAGAAAATCACCATGCAAGTTCACTGCAGTTAGGTAAAGAAGTAGAAAGCCAAACTGTGGTGATTGTTTCCCCTTACACAATACAGACTACACTGCAGGGGAATGGCATGCATGGGTGTCATTCACAAAGGAAGTCTCTCCTACAGCCCATGCACAACAACAACATGAATTCACAGATGTAAGATGTACTGCTCTATATTGAAAGAGATGATGCTACCATCACTCCGTGCCCTTGGTCATCGTGTACTTTTCCAACATGACAATGATCAAAACACACATCTAAAGCCATTGTATTTCTGAAGAAGAACAGGGTGAAAGTGATTCAGTGGCCAAGCATGTCTCCTGATCTGAACCCAATCAAACACCTAAGGGGAATACTGAAGAGACAAGTTGTGCATCACTCTCTATCCAGCATCCAGGCTCTAAAATAGGTCGTTATTGAAGGATAGAAAAGATATATGTTGCAATATGTTGCCAACATGTTCATTTCATGCCTAGAAGACTTGATGCTATCCTTAGAAATCATAGAGGTCATACAAAATACTAAATGTAGTAGTTTTTTTTTTGTGGGGTGTATTCATTTTTGCATCAAGTAAATCTGAAGATTTTGTAATCTAAGCTATATTATTTAACTTACTTTCATATAGCTAGCTAAACAAATGTTCTATAGAACTCAGTCTTGGCAGAATTCTGGAAATTGTTCTTGTATTCACTGAGATATTGATTAAAATCTTACTTTTAAAAATGGGTGTACTGATTTATGCTGAGCACTGTATATATATATATATATATATATATATATACATATACACTGTAATGCCAAAAGTATTGGGATAACCCTCCAAATCATTGGATTCAGGTGTTTCAATCAACTCTATGGCCACAGGTGTAATCAAACACCTAGGCATGCAGACTGCTTCTACAAATATTTGTGAAAGAATGGGTAGCTTTCAGGAGCTCAGTGAGTTCAAGCGTGGTATCGTGAAAGGTTGCCACTTGTGCAATAAGTCCATCCATGAAATTTCCTTGCTACTAAATATTCCATGGCCAGCTGTCAGTGGTATTATAAGAAAGTGGAAGCAACTGGGAACAACAGCAACTCAGCCACTAAGTGGTAGGCCACGTAAAATGACAGAGCAGGGTCAGTGCATGCTGAAGCGCACAGTGTGCAGAAGTTGCCAACTGTCTGCAGAGTCAATAGCTAAAGACCTCCAAACTTTGTGTGGCCTTCAGATGAGCACCACAACAATACATAGAGAGCTTCATGGAATGGGTTTCCATGGCCGAGTAGCTGCATCCAAGCCTTACCTCACCAAGTGCAATGTAAAGTGTCGGAAAGTGCAGTAGAGTAGAGTTCAGTGGTGTAACGCACACCGCAACTGGACTCTAAGATGTGAAGATGTGTTCCCTGGAGTGACAAATCACGCTTCTCCATCTGGCAATCTGATGGACGTGTCCCAATACTTTTGGCAATATACTGTATATATATATATGGGATATAATATGGTATATTTATAGGGAAAAGATATAAATTGATTTAACAGTTAACCTTTTGATTATCTTGAGATATTAACCCCTTCCAGCCAGTGTCATTAGTCAGTGTATATTAGTATTGTCATTATCAGTTACTCAGTTCCCACATAGTGTCAGATTGCCTGCTGCCATAAGCCATCATTACTTGTATGAAGAAAAAAAAAAAAATCAAATATATATTCCATCATTTGTAGATGCTATAACTTTAATAAAAACCGATTAATATACACTTTATAATGTTCTTTTTTGTGATAAAAGCAAACTGTACTTTGATTGCCAGACACACAAAAATGTATTTCTGGAAACCCCCTACAAAATGTATATAGTTACAGGCTGCAAGTATTCAGCAACAAGTGAATAATTTTGTTAAATAGCTCCACACTTGCTTGTCTCTGCACTCTACCTCATAGGTATTGTTCCCATCCTGCTGCACTTCACAAACTTTAAAATACCTGGCATCTGGACATATTCCAAGTGTTCTATCCCATATAGTACATACATTTACCTGCAAAATATGTTATTTGCAATACATAAATTTCAATTGCCATCCTGTGAATTTAAAAACCCTGTCCAGATGTTGACGAAGATCTACATATTGGGGTTTATTTAGTAAAGGCAAATAAACTGTGCACTCTGCAAGTGCAGTTGCTCCAGAGCTTCGTAAATGAGGTAAAGCTCCACTTTGCAAAGAATACCCAATCACCTGCAAGAAAAATGAAAAAAAAAATATTGCTTGCACACGATTGGATGACGGAAGTCAGCTCTGGAGCAGCTGCACTTTGCAAAGTGCACAGTCTATTTGCCTTTAGTAAATCAACCCCAATATGTAGACCTTCGTCAACATCGGGACAAGTTTTTTAAATTCACACCAATGTCAATTGAAATGTAAGTATTGTAAAGTGCACAGTCTATTTGCTTTTAGTAAATCAACCCCATAGTGTCCAAAATTGGCTCTCGCTTTACTGTTCCATCAACGGTGGATGCACCCAGTAACGCCTTCTCTTGTGGACATGCAGTTTCAACAGTGCTATGGCCATAACCATGAACAAGCCTGCCAGTGCAGACATCTTCTGTACACAGCAGCACATGGCACGCAAAGGACACTTCTAAGGGATAGACAGGAAGTGATCTGACAGGAAAAGTGACCTGGAAGCATTGTCCTGATGAAAATAAAGATTTTGTTATTATAATGACCCCCAAAAAATTAGAAAACAAAGTATATGGAACACATAAAAAACTTTCTAAAGCTATTTAGTTGCCGGGTTTGCTGTGCCTTCATTTATGCCCATGCAATCCTCTGTATGAACCTCGACATACTTTCCTGGCCCTTTTGGTCCGTCCAGAATGGGCTCACAGGAAGGATGCAGACCCGGATGCTACCTTTTCTTTTGCCTTATGACAGTTTATTACCCTACCCTCTTACACATAAGCAATACAAATATGAGCCAGGGTGGAAACACATGCCACAACTTGTGACCTTGCCATTATCGCTTGGATGGTGGCAATATCACACTTATCAACTAAGGATTATTTCCCATCTAAGACACTGGTTCATTATTTCATTTATGCAGTATATGCTTATCAACGTTTTATATTTGGCCTTGGGCCACATTGTCCATTATTACTGTCCCTTTTACTTCTTTTCATTTTCTATTTATTCTTCTTTTGTTTTTATGTGCCAACTCTTCTAGCTCCAACGAATAACAGGGGAATACTAGGATCATATCGGTAGGTGTCTCGGGACAGATGAAGCCATCGACAGGAGGCTATATTCTGCCAAACCATGATGCATAATATTCCGGTGACTAAATACTCTATTGCCATACATAATATGCAAGGCCTCCACTCCCCAGTACAGTGCACCAAAGCTTTCCAGTATTACTACAAACAGGGCATAGATATTCTGTTGCTACAGGAAACCCATTTCACTCGAGCCTCAGCACCCAAATATATTAAGGTTAGATACCCTAACTGCCATATATTGCATGGCCTGGAAAAGAAAAGAGGGGGGTAATCTGCTTTTCGAAATGAATATCATTTACGCCTTCCCACGGTGGTTAAAGACAAGGAAGGTAGATATCTAATGGTGATAGGTAAGATAAATGATCAATTGGTTATCTTTATATCATAGTATGCACCAAACACGGGACAATTAGCCTTTTTCCAGAACATGTTGGAAATCCTACTGCCTCGAGCATCAGGACATGTATTGATGGAGGGTGACAGCAATCTCCCACTGGACTATGCTCTGGATAAATCAAACCCCCACAAAGCAGTTCTTAAAAAAGTCCCTAAACAAAATTGTAAAATTACCGAAGCTGTTCCTTCAATATGCCCTGATTGACACTTGGAAGGAACTTAACCCCTCAACCCGTGACTCCACGCACTACTCTCAAGTACATGGCATGCACTCGCGGATAGACCATATGCTGGTCCTTATTCCCCTGCTACCCTTTATAGCCTCAGATAAAATCCTTACTACACCTTGGTCAGACCATTCTCCAGTTAGATTGACTCTTACAGATTTATAAATTAAACCTCCACCTTTTGCATGGCACCTGAACGCATTGCTGCTTAACAACACGGTGGTATTTAAAGAAATAGAGACGGAATTGTGCCTTTTTTTCCGTGAGAACACGCCATGAGCCACTTCCCCCGTTATTATTTTGGCAGCACATAAAGCCGTTATTTGGGGTAATCTGATACAAATTGCAGCTAGATCAAAGTGTAATAGAGAGAGTACAATCAAGCAACAGGAAGCAGACGTGTGAAGTCTACAGGAGGAACAAAGGAGAAATCTCCAGATAGACCTTAGATATAAAATCGATGATGCTCGAGTAGCATTGAATTTGAGTTTGACCATCCAGGCAGAGAAGTATCTTCGCTGGTCGCGTCATCGCTATTATACTATGGGACATAAGCCTACCACCCTACTTGTGAGAAAGCTTTTTTCCCGTGTTTTTACCTCGCGCTGCCGAGACTACGTTAAAAAAAAGGACACCTGATCCAAAATCTACAACATGTTGTACGCAAATTTTTTGATTTTTATTCCACGCTGTACACTAAACCAGCTTAGTTTCAAAGAACTGTGGTGGATGAATTCTTTCAGGATATCCCAAAGTTAAATCAGCTACATAGGGAGCAGCTGGACAAAGAGTTCACAGAAATGGAAGTTCAGAGAGCTATCAAAAGTCTTAATCCATCCAAGGCTCCAGGCCCGGACGATTTATGGGACACTATTATAGAAAATACATTGAAACTCTGACTCCACATCTGTGTTCTGTCTTCAGTGTGATACAGCAAGGCACTCCTCATCCTGCTCACGAAAATATGACGTTTATACATGCTATACAAAAACCAGGGAAAGACCATGGAGACTGTGCAAACTATAGACTAATCTTACTAGTTAATGTGGACTTGAAAATACTGATGAATGTTTTGGCCACTAGTCTTAATTCTTTTCTTGCTCTATATATACATCCTGATCAAGCAGGCTTTGTCCCTAATAAGCAGGCCTCAGACCAAATAAATGAAACAAATGTGGTGTGCTATCTCTTCATAAATAAAACCATAAATTTTGAGAACATAGAGTGACAGTCCAAAAAAATATGTAACAAAATGATGATAATGAACATCCAATGCAGTATATATTGTGTTAACATCCAGCAATAACCAACACCATGCTTGAATTGTGGTCCCACTCCCTGCTCACCTTGACCATTGACCTGTAAGTTATAATAGGTCAAAAACGCTTTATAAGGAAAATGTGTCTCCAAATTTATGATCCATGACGTGCTCTTTCCAAGTATTATGCCTCTTTAACCATTTCAATACCATGCAATTTTACACCTTCCTGCCCAGGCCAGTTTTCACGTTTCAGCGCTCTCACACTTTGAATGACAATTGCGCGGTCATACAACATTGTGCCCAAACTAAAATTTTATCATTTTCTTCACACAACTAGAGCTTTCTTTTGGTCCAAGAATGTCAGAATAGTACAGATATCCCCAAATGACCCCTTTTTGCAGAGTAGACAGTCCGACGTACTTCATAAGAGGAATGGCGAGTTTTTTGAAGTTGTATTTTTTTTGTCATAATTTTCGGAAAATGAAAAAATTATTTTCACAATTTTTTTTTTTTTACATACTGTCACCAGTGCAGTACAGCGTCATCATATAACTGGCATGGTGGTGAACAGGGACACTGACTGGTGACAGTACAGTAAAAAAAATATATATATATATATTTTTTTTTTTTATTATTTAAAATTTTTTATTACTTTTTTTTATTTTATTTAAGATTTTTTTTTCATATTTTACTATGACCAAAGTAGTAAAATGTTACCATAGTAACATTGTACTACTTTGGGGAAGTGATCAGTATTTTTTTACACAATTTGCTATAAGCAAGCATTTACCAGAATGAAATCGATTCATTCAGTTCTTTTTTTTTTTTGTGCTTAGCTGTGATTTGGTCACAGCTAATCACATGACATGTGCATGTGACCTGCTGTGACCATTCACAGCTAGGCACTAGTATACAATGGATGGCATGAATGAAGCCATCCATTGTATACAACTGTCATGTGACCTGCTGTGATTGGTCACAGCAGGTCACATGGTACCAGCAACGGGAGCCGGTACTCGGATCTGTCATCGGCCGTGTCCGAGGTACATGGCCGGTGACAGATCGCGCTGCTGCGCCTCTCTGCAGTTGCGCAAACTGAGCATGTGCGGGAGCATGCCAAATGGCGTGCACCCGGAATGCAGAAGCACTTTTGCCGCCGCCGCCAAACGGCCATTGGCCGGGCGGCGAATGGTTAAACTCCAGATCTGTGCAAAATAAAACAAAAACATACCATAGTGCAATGCAGTTGGGTATAACCAGAAATTAAATGTGCTACAATTTCCACTCACATTAAACAAATTATACAGTGGGGAT